GTCGTTGTGTCATCCTCGGTACTATATGATATCAAAAGCACGAGTGAACTTTCTAACGAAAAGTGTCAGCTCGGGTTCACGGAAAAGGCCAGATTGGACTTTTTAAATTCGTTTCAAGGGTTTGCTAAAAAAAAAAAAAAACTAGCAATTTAAAAATAAAAAAACCCCTCTTATCTAGCATTAATTGAGTCTGTAAAATATTATAAATATTATAATACAGCGATTGACGTTACCGACGGGTAGATTGTTCCGGTCCATTTTAAGTAATGGGAGTAGAGTTGGTTTAGGTTGGCAGGCTGTATAAATTATAATATAATAATATATTATGTTAAAATATTTATAGCTATTATACATAATACCTATAATAATAGTAATCGTTTGGCAGAATATTATGTTTCGAGTCGACGACAAGCCGTGGACAAGGACCTGCGTGCCAATGTGTGAGGAGTTTAAAAATAATTATTATATAATTCACCAGAGTAAAATGATATTATTATCAATATTATAATTATGATTATTGTACGTAGTAAAGACACGTCAAGTACGCACGACCAAACGATGAATAATAATAATAATATTATGTTATAAATTATGGATGAAAAATTATAGAAATTTCATATTTTTCTTTATGTTTTCTATTTATTTGAAGTTCAGATAATATGTATTTTTTTTGCATATTTCGGTACATTTTTAAGAATAGCACATTTATGATTTTTTGTACTTATAAATTAATTTTTAGTAATTTTGTACTAATTTTTAATACAATCTATTCCATAAAACAATAACCGAACACAAAACCTGTAGTTACAAGTAATATAGCATGGTTGTTAAACGCAACAAATTTACAGGTGTGAAAAAAATAATAGTTAAAGAGTAAAGACAAAATTAAATAATTATTTAAAAAAATAATATATTATAACAAAATAACAATTTATTCATTGATCAATAACCCATATACCTAATAATACTATAATAATGCTCGAGACTGGCGAAACATTATCATTTCATTATTATATCAATGAGTTCAATAGATTAATTTGAGTGACAGACGAAAACATGTTATCATTAATTATCGTTACTTATTGAATTGGCCTAATTGATCGTTGCACACTCTATTATTATACAGGGTGTAACAGAAAAATTAGGAATAAGAACATTAATGGTAGTTAAATGTATGACAACAATTGAGAAAATTAAATGGATAATAAATAATTTAAAAAATATACTCATGTTGGGAAATTCCCAAAACTAATATTTTATAAAAAGTTTTAATTTGATTCACTATTACCTATTGATTATAACAAAACTACAAAAGTTATAGCATTCGTCAGTTATTTCTATTACACTCAACATACGAGGTAACAAAATAATGATACCAGATTATACTTATATATATATATAAATATATATGTATGTATAATAATTCCATATTCCTTAATTTCCTTAATTTATTCCTTAACGTAGTCGCCAAGGCAGTTATTATCAATAATAATAATGGAAGAAAAAAAGACTATCATTTTTAATTCACCCTATATATGTGCAGAAATTTAACTTAATTAAGTTTTAATTTAGGTAATCAAAAAGTTGTAACTATGAAAACATACCTTATTATTATTAGTTTGAGTAATTTTATGTTATAATTTTATTATTATAGGGTTTGTTTCACACAAGTTCTAAGTGAAAATGGTCTATCAACCTTGAAAATGACCAAGCATAATTCTATCGAATTAAATTTTTTCTATCAACCCTAAAATGTTTTGTGAGTAATTGATACATAAAAATCTGATTGTATAAACTCAATTGGTAAACTTCCAATTATTGTGCCGATTATATTGTGATTTTTAAAGTTTTACCGTCCATATAAATCAACACTGCACTTACCTTTTATAGTTTTCCTTCCAGGGATAGAAAATATTGTGTTTTTGTCCAATTCAATTCCATAAACACTGATCGACCATCATAAATATTATTATACAATAAACTGCACGTATTAAAATAATTTAAAATCGAAAACTTATATTACATAGATCAATATTAATTCATTACCTACTGTGTTAAATATTTATTGTTTCCGAAAAAAAAACTATAAATATTATGACATTTAAAATATTAGAATCTGATTTGAGGGCCAATTATATTCTCTCACAAGATCGAGGACTTTTGTGAAATGTCGTTATAACCAACATGCATACGAGTATGAATTATAGTGATCAAGTTTTCACTATCGCTAGTTATTAATATAATATACATAATCGGCCTAATCGGTTCGTTGCACTGCATCAGTATAATATACTGTTTGGGATAAAACAATGATGACAATATAATAATATTATAGACACTTATATAACAATGTTCACAAATTATAGTTTATTTTTTCCCCACATCTTTGGTAATAAGACGTTTTCGTTATTGATATTTTGACTATATTTTTGAGGACTCTACACAGGTTCTCACAGTGTTACAAGTGCCTAACATGGGAAATTAACACTCAGCAGATCACATTTAGCTTTGTTGGTTTAAAAATGAATAAACCCATAATGAAATTCGATGGTAAAAACATTATCAGTGTTATACATGTTTTGGCGCAATTTATTGCTCTATCAACCCTGAAAATAACTGAGCACTACAATACACCTATATTGGCGTAAAAAGGTCATTCATTTAAAGTGCAATTGCAGGGAGGTAAGCTCTCACTGAAACTATTATACAGAACGATTCACCAAGTATGCTCACTTTCAATTTTTCCTTTAATAATTTATTTATTTAAGTTCCAATTTTTGGAAGTGCTCAAAGACCTTATTTTAAAATTCTCGATTTTTTTGTGTAACTTAAGCTATGTCCGGTGACTCCTGTAACTTATATTTGCCAAATGAGAACCCCCCCAATCACCGGTTTTACTGTAAATTATTTAATGGATAATTGTTTTGAAAATGTTTATGATTGTAGGTACCTAATTGAAAATTCGAATGTATCGTTTCTTAGTTATTTAAATGTTTGTACTAAAGATACTCCTTTGAAATGGTTTTACAAAAATATAAAATTGGATCTAGTATTTACTATATTTTGGCTATTTTTACAAATTAATAATATTAATGACAACAAGTCCGTGTCCCCATATCTTTTAACCGCATTACCATATTATGGATATGGACCTTGAAAACACAAAGTTAAATAACTCAAAAACTACTATAGCTTTGATTTTGATACTTCAATATTTTCAGAAAATGTATTCGCTGTATGATTTGCAGTTGAAAAGGGGTGTTCTCATTTGGAAAATTAAAAGTTTGCATCTCCACAAGGTGCTTAGAAAAAACCTTTTCTAAAAAGAACTGGAAAATATGGTCTTGAAGTATGTTTAAAAATTCCAAAAATCAAAGTTTGAATAACTGCATTATTGAAGAAAAAAGGGATGAGCATGCTTGGTGAATCGTCTTTTATAGTACCTAGTCGTAGTACCCGGATTTCAGCAAGAGTTGTGAGTACGCCGTAAAAGCCGTCAAGCCGTCTAGCCGTCATTATAATATTGTATTATTATTTTATATCATTGTGTGATTCATTTTTCATATCCGCATCTGCAGCACTTTGGCCACAACACATGATCTGTTTTTCTGAGTTATCGAGGATCTCACAACACGCTATCTATAATGTGTGTATTATAATAAAGTCGCCTACTCGCCAGTGTATTATAATAATAATATAGTAATAATACGCGAGGCAGAGATATCGCGTAAATAATAATAATAATATTACGGCCGAAATCGCATTCAAGGGCGCCCGGTGTTGTCCGGTGCAAATGGTCGATAAAAATTGCGGTCCGCTTATTTTTAACGGCGTAGATGTATACATTTTTTGTTTTTTTCTCATGTATATAAGTATTATTGTGTCCCGTTCGTCTTCTCTCTTTCTCGAACGTTCTAGAACCCGTTCGCTCGTGTTTTTCGGGTCTATGCAGATGGCCTGCAGCTAAACCATGAGAAATACGAGCTGCGACTAAAAAATTACGCTTTTTATAATATTGTTCCGACATGACGTTATCGCGATTCGTGGCCGCACTTACGTGGTCGTTTCCTGTGCTTTTCGTGACTCGACTGCGCGACGATTCCGGGCTGTGTACAATACACTACAATAATAAAATATTTTTGAATAATATTGTGCACTACAAATGTAGTATAGTTACTCTATATAAGTGCGATCATCCCCGCGAGATCACTGGCCGGTCGTATTACACTGTAGTACATATATAACATAAGTATAGTATTCCACTTGGGGATTGTCCAAGACGAACAAATACATATTATTATTATTATTATTATTATTATTAGGTTTATAGAAATATTATAATTGTTGTTAATAAACAAAAAACCCGGATCCCATCTGAGTATATTATGTATATATGGGTTTCGAGTATACACCCATGGCCATTGTGATGTTTACGGGCTGCTGCGCAAATTTCGTAAGCTTAAATAATAAACAATAAGTTTACAGAGAAAAAAACCATAAGTTTGAGACGCAGATTATAACCTATATATAACCACACATATATTATATACCTAAGTAGCAGCGATTAACATTTTTAATTTAATAAAAAAAAAAAAACAGTATAGTTAACGGGCATTCGTCAATACACATAATTTTAATCAGAATTTTAATTTAACTTAATTTATACACATACATACACATACATATCTATAAATAGGTACCTATATATTATATTATAATATATTATGTATATCTGTATGTTATGCGTATATAATATATATATTTTTTAAATAGTTACAAATAAAGAAACATATAATTACGACGACGTGCAATTAATATTATAATAATTATAATAATATGGCTTCGTAGAGTGCTTGATTTTGTTGCCCCCAAAACTCCAGTAATTTATAACCGCCAATTATAACGAACTACAAATCGGAATAATCAAATACCCAAATGGGTGATTTTTGAAGTCGCGGAGTTATTACAAAACATTCAATAAATATGAAAACTGCGTAGTCTCAATATTTTAATACATGTTTTTATTGTAGTGTTATATCGATAAACATCGTTATTTAAAAACAATCATAATATTATCATGTATACGCTATGGTAATTTCAGTGATCTGGAATTACCCATGATCACGAGTATTGTGTAAGACGAAAAAAAAATATAAATATGAAAAAACCTAAAAAAATAAAATAAAAAGTCTTTAAGGTACCTGGTGTTAAATTGGTATCTGACGTCAAACGCGGAATGCAGAAATTATTCCAAAACGGATAGGATGAACACGCGCGTTGCAATTTATGCACATATACATATATATACGATGGGAGGAAATGCAATTTGTCCGTATTATTATACATTATCTATGTAACGTCATTATAATAATAATAATAACAATACTAATAGGTGACCGGATACTCTCGGAACTCAACGACCGACGTGATGATGTACACACGCCTTGTGTACAAGACGCGTAAAATTATTTTATGCAAAACTTAAAATAATAATAATAATAATAATAATAATAATAATAATAATAATAATAATAATAATAGTAAAAATAATAATGAAAGAACGTCGAGAAATCATTTGAAAAAATAATAATGTATACACAGTATAAAACAATAAATTTAAAAACGATAATAATTATAAATTATGCATGTATCGATGATGATCTACGTCGTGTGTACTCGCGTACATTTTTTTACGACCCGAAAGACGCTCGACGATTGTTCGTTCATCTGAGCCTGTTGTCGTTTCGATAGTCCAATGGCACCGAATTGTTGGCAGTGAATATGTACGGGCTGCGGGCCGTCGGACAGACGAAGTCCTTCATGATGAAGTCCATCGTGTTCTCGGATTTTGTGCCAACGGGTTGCAGCATGTTGTTCCACAGCAAATTGGCAGCTGTAATTCGAAGAGAGAAAAAAAAACCAACGATTAATATGATTAATATGGGTAAAATAATTACGAGACTAGTCGGACTTGCGGTTTTCGTAATGTGTACACACCCAATACCCTATCATTATTATGGCGATCGGGGGATAGGATTTTATGAGCGTAGAGCATAGGTTCCCAAAATATGGTCCGTGGACCACTAGTGGTCCGCGAGACATTGTCAGGTGGTCCGCGAGCCATACTTACAAAATGTAAAAATATTTTAATAATTTCATTTTCCTTTGAGGCATAACACGCTAATTACTGACAATCGTGTATAGTACGTCGTTTCTTTATAAATTTATATTACATAGTGAAATCCATGTTATTAAAAGCCTCATATTCATGTAATAATAATCAAAATTCTAAAATATGTGAAAAAAAATTGATTCTTATTTGTAAGAAAAATAAGGTATACAATTGAGGTGGTCCGTGACGTATCCAAAGTTCTCATAGTGGTCCATAGTACCAAAAAGGTTGGGAACCACTGGCGTAGAGGGTCTGGGACTCGTGTATCATTATTGAAAAAGTCAGTTATTATAAAAAAATAAAATAAAATCAACTACCTAAGTTTATATCTTAAACGTCCTTGAAATATGAGATTAATTTTTTTTACTTTAATATTAACCTGTATAGTATATACATTTGTGTACCTAATATAACTAAACGTAATTTATTTCAAAACTAATAATATTGAGTATCAATTAAAATTTAATTTATGTAAGAGTTAATCTCTGTAACTATTGAACAAATTCCAAAAATTCTTTCATTAATAAAAATCTAAATAATCATTGCATAAAGTAGTCAGTACAGTTTACTTAAAACGTAGTAACGTATTATAATTAATATGTAACATTTGTTTTTTATTATATAAATATAAAAATGTATGTACGTTTGCCGTTTGGGTGGGGCCTGTAGACAATCAATACTAGCACGATATGTAGGAATTCCAATTTTGCATACGAAAATCGAATATTTTATTGAGTATATTATATAGGATTTCTATTGGTTACAGAAATAAAAGAGACTTAAATATACCTAATCTGTTTATAAATAAATTAATGAATGAATATTTGTACCTTATATATACTCCAAAACTACATGGTCGAGTTTCACAACATTTTCAGAGATTGGTGTCAGAAATATCAGAAAAATTTAGGGTAATCGAGCCAGCATATACCAATAGTGCTATATGCCTATTGCCTATATAATATATATTATATGCCTATCTCGTTAAAATTATTTCACTAAGCGATGATGGTACATCGGAGATGATTTCCTAGCGAAGAACGTTAAAACTGATATAGGTACACCGATATGAGGCTATATTTTATATTTGTTCAATTTTTTATCGGGCGAAGTAGGAATACGAGTACGAAGATAATTATAAATTATTGAAAGAAATAATTACCAAGCAATTTTGTACGGCTCAAGGATTATTAAAATAATGCAGACTAGCCCAAGCATTAATAATTTCTCAAATGACTTTTTTGGGTTGTTAATACCCGATTGCGAGTTATACAATATAAGAATTTCGTAATTTCGGTCTGAACAGACCTGGTACAAGCAGTCCGTGTAACTCGGAAAATTTGCACAAATAACGATGGACAACTTCGAAATGACAACGGCGAAATCTATGAACTCACTGAATATTTAAATGTCTGTACAAAATTAAGAGGAAAATTAAAGAAAACAATACTAAAATTGTACAAGTGTACAACTAATATTTAAAAAAAATACATAGCTAGTAAATAAATACCCCATATGTTCACTAAAAAATTTCAAAAAAATAAAAATAAAAATCTACAACGTTTTGAAATTTGCTTTTTGATTCACAAATATAGTTGTAGATTTAGCGTCAGACAAAACGATGGGCTGCTGCCAAGAGAATCATATATATTATGGTGACAACATTTATAGAATATAAGGATATTCATTTGGTAGATAAGCAGCCAGTAGGTAAACTGTACGTATCTGCAAAGTTATACTGTCCATTGTCTTAATCCTTCAGTTTATCATTAAATCCCTTATAGATAATAATGGGAGACCAATCTCGTAGTTTACATCTTTAGTCTTTAATCTTATTTTTAGCAATTAATTTTAGTTATTATTGGCCTATATAACCTATATGGTTAAAAAAAATGTTTTAATAATAGTTTTTATGTATAAAAATTGACAAATATTCAATAATTGAATACATTATAATCATCATTATCATTAATGATATTTTTGTCTTTTTCGAATAAATCAATTGAATACATTTAAATTATAAAATATTACTTATTAAGATTATATCATTATGATTTAATTCTGAAGCTAAATTTGTAGGGTCGTGATCCAACACGGGTCAAAGATCACACAGTAGTATAATATGTTCGTAATATACTGTTTGAGTTAAAATCATTGACTTGTGCATTTCCGACGGACGCTTTTGTTGTACCTACCTAAAGCGTGTCCCTTTTGACTGAAATGGAAACAATCGTAGGTGACGTATGATATGTCTATGACCTCTTCAAATTGCCGCTTCTTGTCCAGCGGCGCGTTGAACAGTTTGATGAACGGTTGGATGACTACGGTGAAGTCTTCTTTTTTGTTGTATCGACCACTGTTGATCTGCGGAATATCACAAACGGAGACATAAAAAATTTAATAAAACGCATTTTCTGTTATTATTATAATATTATAATATTCCTAGATATATATATATTATATATTATACTGAAGCGTATAGGAGAGTAAGATTGTATAATATAAATTGTATCCAATATTTGTTTTCAAACAAAGGCTTAAAACCAAAATACCGTTTAACGGTTTTGGTTTTCTAACATTTTTCTACAATTTTACAGTTTTAATTATGGTTTTTTAAGCGATGTTTTAAATTTTTTTTTTGTCAACGCTTTTTCAAAAATGTATTTACATATTTTATCAGGAATTTCATTGACTGGCTTTTGCCTAAACATTTAGAAGCTTGAATTATTTTTAATTATATTTTAACTGAGCCATTTTTTACTACACAATAAGCAAATAAATTCTTTATTATATTTTACCCAGTTTTACTCAATATAGGTTTTTGCTTTTTTAATGCATATTAAAGATATTTTGTAGGGTATAAACTATAAATACATTCAGATTTTAAGGTTTTTTCTATGAAATTAACTATACAGTTATTTATTTGTCAATATATTTAAAAAAAATAGACTCATTGTCCACATAAATTATTATTGCTAACATTCAAATTTATTTGTAAATACTAAACTTGTAATTTTTGTTTAGCTATACTTTCAACGACCAATATTGAGTGCAATTAAGTATGAACGATATGAAACATTGATTTTCTTTATTTTTAAAAGAATACAATATACAATCTGTACCCTAGAGCACTCAATAACAACTATATAATTATGTAGTAAATAAAAAAGGAGAAAAAAACAGTGGTATATCGCTGGAAGAAGTCACTTGGCCACCCAGTAGTGACATTATCTTTTGTAAAGGCTCAACACTGTTTACAACCAATATTAATTTTAATGATTGTGGTTTGGGTTTTACGAATGGTTTGTCGGTTACGGGCCTTAATAGCTTTAGGTTTTGGTTACGGTATTAGAAAATAAAAAACCGACATTACAACCGGGTATTCCAAGTATAGGTTTCAACCCTCGGACGAAACTAACCAAAATCTGTTCGGCAGTCTGATAATCTCGGACCATTTGAGTGATCTGATCCATTTCGTCTCCTTTCTGGTGGAAACAGGTACAGAAGAACCTGTGTAGCATATGGCACATGAACGACCTCTTCACGCGTACGCTGACCGACACGTCTGCACATGCAAACAAGAAAATAAATTATTACTATTTATTAATTATTCTTACAATAAAACATTATTTCGAAAACAAAACGTCGCTCGCTATTAACATTATACTACCGTTATACAATATAATATTATATTATACATCATGCGTGGTCGTGCGTCTGAATGCATAATATATGCATTTTTATTAGTGATGGACATCAGTATTCGAATGGTGATAAATATTAATTTACAGTTCATATGGGTTTATTGTTATGTAATAATCAAATCCGAAAAAGTTTCATCCGTCGAACGCGGTAGGTAGGTAGTTTATAATACTAACGTCCAAGAAAACACATAATAATAATAATACATCACACGAAATGTTGTACACACCAGAGTCGTAAAAGGAAGAGGAGTAAAAGAATATTGTTGTAAAATGAGTAATAATAATATAATATCAGTTGTAAATACAATAATAATAATAATAATATGCGTGTTCAGTGTGCGGTGGTTCAATTAGAAATCATAAAGTGCGAGAATATAATATATAATTACGTTATTTCTAGTAGATAATATAATAGTTTTTTTGTTTTACACTATACGTATTATGTAATAATACCATATATACTTCCATTAAAATATTCAGGTATAACTTGAGCCTTGTAAGCCCTCCACCCCCCCCCCCCCCCCACCGTACATATTATTCGGCACGTTTTAGGTGAAATTAGTTACACTAAAATAATATATAGGCACCTATTACAAAAATTAAAAACAAATAGTATTAATGAATATTAATAAATATTTTATCGGGAAAACATAATAACGATGATGGTACTGCCGATATTCAAGTAGGAAAAATATACTTGGAAAATTTACCGGGGTACCTACCTATAAGTATATTATGAGAACAAAATATTGTGAATTGAAAAAAATATCTAGGATAAAGATAATATATTATTTAGAAATTATAAAAAGGTCCAGCAATGAAATTAATGAAAATAGTCGATATTCTCATCACCGCATCGACGACAAAGTACAATATTTTCGTTATTTATCAGTATATTAATTACGCGAGATACACCATTGAGAAACGTTACGCTTAGCCTTTCGAATAATATTCGTAAGTTCCCATCACTCATACACACACATTGCATTAGGTACCTACGTTAAACAATGATAACATATAATACATATCATATTGTATTATATATTGCATACGCGACACGTATAATACGACGTTTGCAATGACAGTGCTCACGCGAAATGGCTTTCACTTTCGTTTCCGATATAAGCTCTTTTGGAAGTTCATTTCGTATGCGTAACACGTTTCGAGGTGACTCTTATATATACTGCACAATATGTGTTATGATATATATGCCACCTCCGTCCACGGTAACGTCAACCGCGGTATCACCAGACGACAGCTCACTTTCCAGACGTGGTTGCAAAACGCCGACGCCGCGACGGAAATGGACGAGCGGACGGACGGACGGGCGAGTGTCAAAATAAATAATAATTTATTATTAAACGTCTGAAAGCCGAGAGCAAAAATGACGAGCAAAATAATAATGGCCGGTAACGCGTCGGACTGCTCCATCGCTAGTGATGCACGCAGATCGCCACCATCGACGAATAACGGTAAGTAATTTATCTGCTGCAGCGACGACGACGACGAACAATGGGAATTGGAAATTCGAACTTGCGATCGACTTGAAGGGGTCATATTATAAATAGGAAACTATTATATTATTATTATTATTATTATTATTATTGGGTTTGGCCTCCGCTGCCGCAGACGTCGAGCCGAGATTAGGATTTCCTACGTACAATATTGTGCTGCAAACAGGTTGCAATATTTATATTAATTTAATTTAAAATATCACATAAATCTGTCGCACCTATATCATAGTTGCTTGACGATCGCATCCAACACACGCTGTGTACGATGAATATACCGATGTCATATCGTAATTGTCGTTGTGGTGACCGGAGAAAGAGAGAGAAAGACAGACAGAGAGAGAGAAAGATTCAAACACGACTTTTGAAAACGGCGGCATTCGACCATGTCATCATAACAACGTACCCTACCCATAATCCAATATTATCATGGCCACGATAAGACTAACGGTATAATAAAATGTCATGACAGTTATAAGTTTCCGAAAGACTACACGATTGTTTCCGATTGTGAAACCCTGCAATCAAAAGACAGAAGTATTTCTCCGTTATGACTGCAGCAGCTGCCGTGGGTACGATGTCACAAGAATAAGACGTCGTAATAAGACACTGGAAAAGTTGCAGATTTCCGACGACGGCTCCGACGGTATATGATTATGTGTACGATAGGTACGTCGTGATATCGCGGAATAACGATTTGTCGTCGGTTTTGTGGAACGCATAACATTTCACCGATTCTCAGAAAAAGTAATTATCGAACGAAGATGAACAGACAGTAAACCACGGTCAACGTTAAAATCGATTTGCCGCAACGCCGCCATCGCACTGATAATAATACATTATTCAATTAAATTATAATATACCACGGGCCCGAAGCGTTTTGCTATAATTGTGTAACGACGCCCGCGGTGAATGAACGAACCGCGGTAACGATGATGGTGCATTTTTTCCTTCGTACGCATTCCGCGGGGTCTGAGTCGTGAAAGTGAATTGGCGCGGCTCTCATTCATAACAAACGTATAGTAATAACACACACACGCACACACACACACAAACACAGATATATATGGACAATATATTATATTTATTATACATTATATGTATAATATGTAAGTAGGTATGCGTCCGGCGCGAGCGATCGCCGTTCGACTTAACCGGGTCTACGGTATAATATGTGTCGCGAGAGTGCGGTAACCCCTCCAACCGGGGAACACGTATTATATATCCACCGTTACCCTATCGGCTCTTTAACCTTGTTGTTAACTTGGGTATACGTGCAGCCGAGCGTACAGTGTGCGACCGCCGGTTTCACTTCCGACCGCTGACCGGCGGACGCAGTATAGGACGTATAGGTAGGTATATATTTTAACCGATACCGGGTAACAACTCGTTTAAAACTCGGTCGAGTTGGAAAAAACGTTTAGATTCTCACTATATTTCGAGCCGACTCTGCGATGTTGCGTCGTACACGAGTGCGCCATTTCGAGACCGCGGACTCCCGGACGAGGACGGATTTCGCGCGCAAGGGCTAGAGTACACTGGAAGTTAAAATATCCTACCGGAGAGATTCGAATCGAAATCGGCAGGTATAGAAGTTAAAATGGCAGAACTATTGACCAATGCTTATAGTTCGGTTAACACCCAAGCTACTACATGTCATACCTACATTCAAGACGCAGTATAATTATATTAGTATTCATAACACTCCTATGATGATTTTCCCAAAAGTTTTCTAAATCGCAATTTGAATACTTTTCATTTACGATAATTGTTTTCCTAGTCATTTTTGCAATATTATACACATTTTAAATCAAGTATTAACAACCTAAATTATATTATTTTTAGAATTATTAAATTATATATTATGTTGGAGTTAACTTCGAGTACCTATTCCCGGAGAAAAGTACCATTGATTTAATATTTAAAACAAAAACTATATGATGTATTGAAATCGATATTCCGAATACTATTTTTCATAAGGATTCGAGTATTTATTCCAAATACTTTTTAAAAGTATTTTACACCAGTCTACGTATATGAATATCGTACATAAAAAGTGCACACACCTAAGACGGGTACGAGGTTCACGAACGTCCTGGGAAGATTGGTCTGGAGGTAGTCTAACGCTTTTTGCAGTTTCTTGCTGTGCTGTAACGGAGTCGTGCCGTCCTTGTCGTAACATTGTCCTGAACACAAGTCGTTGGCGCCGAAAAACATGGTTATCAACTGTACACGAGGAAAACATAGGACGTTATTAATCACACATGCCATAATAATAATATCAGAAATAATTAATATACGCGTGTATATAGACTATAGAGTTTCGTTAATCATGTTAAATCGTTGATGTATAAATAACGCGATAATTATGATTTATGAGTTATGACCTATTGTATTGTTAGGTCCGGCACTCCAAATATTATAATGACATTGATTTAGATGAGGCGTGTCACAAGTAATTACGCTAATTGGCTATTGAGCTGCATAGTTGTGTAGTAATTTTTCAAAGTATAAATAGTGGTACTTATAGTCAATTGTTTTGATTTTGGTGTGCTGGGCCCTATTCATTTAAATATACGTATGCATATGGTGACGCGTTACCTTCCAGTCATTTTTGAAATCAACGTCCGGGTCTTTTTTCATCTTCTTCACCAAGAACTGCGCCTGCCTGTACGCGTCGAAGTCGGCCGACACGGGGAAAGCGACGTTCATGTGAGAGTTAGGCGCGAGAAATTCGCCTTTTCCCACTGAATAACCCTTCAGCCCGGGGTTGAATTCCTTGAGAATGTTGGGCAGCGTCAGATAGTTCCGCCACGTAGCTTCGCCGCCTGTGGGTGAGGTTATTAGTAATGGCTTATAATGTGTAATAGGTTATTGCACACACACACACACACACACACACACACTAAACTGATAGGTGTTAAACACGAACATATAATTATTATTAAACCTATCTTTATTCATTTATTATTACCTATCGTGTTATGAGTGACGAAAATATCCTGCCATATTATAAAGACAATTTGAAATGGAAATACGTATTGTACCAGTCATTTTTAATTGTTTATAATACGCGCACTCATATTATATTATAATACATATTTACACTTAAGGCCGATGATGAAATACCTACACATATCTGTATCATACCGGATGTCGAACACTGCAGGATATGGTGACGTAATGAGAACACAACGGATGTTGAAAAGTGGATCCGTCTCAAAATTAAAATTGAAGTAATCTATACAAAAGCACTTATCTCGAGTAGGTATTGTTCTCAACCTCCTGATCTCTATCAGTGATCGAAGTGGCTCAAAATAAGTGGAAGAATAGAAAATGAGAAATATAAAAGCGGAGGGATGTCACACTACCGTACCCCCCCCCCCTCGTTGACCACTGATCTCTATAATAATATTATTATGTGTTTTTGCATACACGCAGAACGATTTGACATTAAATTCTGGATTCCTTAAGTTCTGCTAAGAACAAGCAAACTATTAAATTGTTTAATGAATTGTTGGCACGTCTAAGCCAATACTAAAATTCGAGCATTAAATAATAAATTATAGTGGAAGTAGGATCGGTGATCTCCTGCAGTAAGCATAAACGGTAATCTACGATGTAGACGAATAACTAAGACATAGAAAATACAGCTCTTTATAGCATTTACGTACTTTCATAACGGTAAGTCCACCACGCTTGCATAAATATTTTGTTATAAACACAAATAATTGTACACAGGTTAATTTTTTAAGCATTCTTGTAAATTTAAGATTTATGATTAAACATATTTAATTTGGTCTTACTTAAAAATTGTTTAAGAACCTTTTTAATAAAACAAAAGTTTACTAAAAATACAGCATTTAAGAACCATTTAGTGAATACTTATACTATTTTGTGGCGATATACATATTTTTTTCCAAATCAGTGCACAATATTTATCCCGCACATTGCTCAGCAGATTACTTAATTAGCTGATTAACTAACTATTAAAACAAGGTTAAATTTAATAATTAAAGTGAAAAAAGCATAGAACTGCTCAGCCACGCTTAAAAAAATTTCTTTATAGATACGTAACATTATATTGCGAACACTATATATAAATATTTTAATATGAAATGAGTATTACGTATAATATAACATTATAATTAGAGACCTGATGTGGTCCCGGATGGGTGACCAGTTTGGTTTTTAGCTACGAATCCTCATTACACATACTCACATGTTACTCAAAACCAACCTTGACCCTCTCTCGCCCCACAAAATGCTAACGACCATAGTAGCCGATGCAAAAAACAATCATAAACCAATAAAGGTATATAATATACTATATTTAAAGCGGATCTACCGTACCTGCCGCCCACGACACTCCTCGGTACTCGATCAACGTTCCCATGGCGAATTCCTCGAGCGCACCGTTTCCGGCCACCAGACTGTCACCCATGGCTCCCACCACGTCAATGTCGCCGGGCCGAAGCCTGTGCACGCTGGTCGGTCTCACGATGCTCCTGCCGAGTCCGGGAGACGTCATGTTCTTGCACGGGAAAGGCATCGATCCCGGAAACGACGGCTGTCTCCTGATTCCGGTGGGCCCAGGTGTCATGACGATGTCTTCACTCACGGCCGGCGTCTGCAAATGTAAATGTAAATTATTAATCAATCACAAATACGACATTGAAGGCGTCTGGAAGAATATAGGCGTGTAACGCCAACGTGTGTCATAGAGTCGATCAAACGAGTTTGAACTTTGAAATGTATAAAAACATGTTTATATAGTAATATCTTATGAGAACAAACTTTGGTTTAGTCACTACTTTGTTTTATCCACTGATATCGATAAAAAAAAAAAAACAAAGTTATGCCGTCAAATATTATAAAACATCAAAGTCGACTAGAATCGTTGTATTCCTCATACTACTAGACAAGAACTGTATATAACAGCCTAGTAGGCTGCCGTTTTGAGTGTAGGTACTCTTGGAATAAATAAAAACAATTATTTGTGGATATCACTGGCATATCACTGATTTTTGGTGGAATATAAGCCAATAAAATGGTTCTTTCCATCAAAAATCATGGAAAATAACATTGACAAAATGCCGGAAACTTTTCGTATAAGTCTCTATACATAATACGCTTCCCATGGTATTCAGTTCATAGACTTCTATACTAACTCAGTATAGAATTCTGTGGTTCAGTTAAGTGTGCAAAAATACCGTATAGATCAATACAGTTTGACGTCTAATGTTATATTGTTATAAAATAATATGTGTACCATTCGGACATTCCTGCCATTGTTTCTGTTGGGCAAAAGCTGATCGTAGGTCAGCCTTTGGGCGGTGCACCACGCGACCGCGCAGAAATATATCAAGACGTTGCTATTGGTCAACATCGCTTTGCTTGATGGCGTCTTTCATCGTGGGTCACTTTTCTCGTAAGTCCATTTTCGGAGAAAACTGTAACGAGACAATAAGGAAAACTGTTTTAAAATAATAACAACACAAAACATAAAAGTAAGGCACATAATAATTGTATCATATTTATAGTACATTTTTATAAACACGTTCGATTAATTATAACAGCAGGAATCACACCATAATATGTGTCTGTCCCGTTTATCATCTTATAATAACAGATATAATAATATCATTTAACGAATATCATAATATAATTCATAATAATACAATATAATAGCACCTATTCAACTTTTGGAACTCAGCCGTTTAACGAGCACAATAGCGTATTTATTATTATTAATTATATGTCGTGTTGGTAGTGCGTCTAGCGTTTTAAATAAGAATACAAATTTTGTTTCGTCCTCCTTCGTCGTCGTAGATACAACCGCGGCTGACTGCAGTGGAACAATACATTACTACATTAGATTATATTATATTATGTGTGTCAAGTTTATGGTATTATAAAACACATCACACACATAATATTATTACTGTCCCATGTGGGTGATTATGCGCGAAGTTACCTCTTCGGTCAACCATATTATTATCTAGTCGAACGTCGCCGTCGCGACGTGTTTCGTCACGGCTGCCGGTAGTACACCAACCATTATTATTATTATTATCACTACGAGTTTTGTATTTATTTATTTAGTTGTGAAAGATGGGTTTGCTCTCTGTTTCTTTTGTACGCACGGCCGTCGACAGACGTCGCTCTGACATACTAAATATCTAAAAAATAAACACCTGGCAATAATGTACAACGCACGCCGGGCGTACAGTGTTGTTTAGGTCGTTGGGAAACAATAATTATACACTTAATATTGTGTCGCAGTCGTCGTGAGACACACACAAGCGCGTTATTGCAACGAGAAAACTCATTTTTTTATTTTACAATAATAAATTATATTATATTACCTACTTATACGGGACTGCCACGGGCTTGAGGCGAGGAAACAAAAGACTGCGTAACGCGAGTCCCACTCGGTTCGTTCCAAATATTGCAGTGATTCCATAATATATTTGGGTATCTATTCGTGATTCGTATAGGTGCACCTAACCCACAGACACTTACGTCGAGTTTCCGTATACATAATTACATTACTATATCATCATACCGTTTTGGCGTCGCTCATTCGACCGACTCACGAGTGTATTTTAGTAAAGTTTTTACAACATCGTACGAGACGAGCGAAAAAGTCATCTGTTAGAAATCGGGTCGATGTTTTACGCGCTGTAATATGTGACTATTTTTATTTGAAATTGTTGTCTGTAATATAGTAACATGTATGCCTACAATATATTAATAATATTATTTAAAAACGATTTGGGTAATTGGTAAACTGCTGTGAAATGGTCCTTTTTCTAAAAGTTTATGTGAAACTGCGACAAATAACAATTTGACATAATACAATCTGCGATAAAACCAATAAGATACATTAATCAAACTGTGGCAATTTATTTTTGTACAGTGCAGCTGAGCAAGAATTTTTCTTTAGATGTGGGGAGCTAATAATGTGTTTGTAAAGAGTTGGTTTAACTAGGGTCTTTCATAAGTTTAACATACTGATACGGTGATAACGAGGTTATATTTAAGGTTAGATTAGGTTGCGGTTTCTGCAGTACGACTATACACAATATTGTATTTAATCGCGTATTTGCAGCAGATATTTTGCAAAACGTATCTGATTGGTTTGGTCGCAGATTGTTTAATGTTAAATTTATTTTTTCAACAGCAGTTTACATATCTACTTTTAGAAAAAGGGTAACTGTTCAGCCGTTCACATTCAGTTACGATTTGTCGCCTCTCTGTAGATACTGTCGTATTCCGTCCGAACAGGTCTGTGCGCACATATCCAACCTCGTGGTGTTATGTACCTATTACTTGTACCACGGTACAACGAAATTTTATAGGCGTAAATAGCAACGGTCGCACGGCATATTAATCGAGGGCTGTTAAATGTAGTCGAAGGTATATAAAAAAAAAAAAATAAAACAAAACACGTTCACTTGTCAAACGTCGCGCACCGGCACCGCCACCGCCGTCGGGGTCGAGATTCGCACGCACGCAGAAAACCGCAAGCTTTCTAATGAGTTTTCTAAGGTCGTAAATATAAATTTAAAAAAAAATGAAACACAGATTGCCATTAACACACAGTCGGACTGTCGAAGACGAAACCTGAGAGCCCGTCGGGCCAAGAGACGTCGACGAACGTATACAACGTTACACACGTTGACGTTATACAGAGTGATAATTTGTTTTCCGTCGTCGATCGGGCACTGATAATACATTACAATTGTACGTAGATATCATAATATTAACCAAATATTATACTCTGTTTACGATATTAATTGCATTATATACGATATTATAATAACGTTATCGAAACAAGACCAACAGTTTTGTAAGATTCCCACAGTTTACGACAGTGTCAAAAAAAAAATCATCCTATACTCAATAGTGCGCAGCAGCAGGCTGAAAACCACAATAGAGAACTGCAACAACAATATAAATACTACAATATTATTATAACGGTCACCACTGTATCGCCTAATTGGATTTCGTAGTATATGTGCGATATAGGTACCTATTCCTATAATATATATATATATATATATATATATATATATACATGTGCCAGTCGTAAAACGAAACCCGAAGACAAAAAATAGATAAAATATATCAAAACAAAACGCCAAAGACTCACACAGTAAGAAAAATCGCACTTAACACGCGTTTGGTGAGAACCTAAGCAATGAGCATATTATATATAAGTGCAGTTCATATGTATATAATATAATAAGTAATAACTAATAACCATTACCTCGGGCGTGTCACGTGAACTGCTACGTAACAGCAGCGGCTATGTGCTATATATAGTCTTTCGTCTGGCGGCCGTCTGACAATGTCAATCACTCTACGCGGTTCTCGAGACTACCTCCTCAACTATCTTATCTATATACGTCAAAAGTTCTCAAACATTTTTGTTCGCAAAACACTTAAGTTGCTAAAAACGTCTACCGAACCCCAAAAACCAGGATAATATCGATTTTAAATCAAAAACAAAAATATGTCGTCATAAGTTCATTGCATACAATGGGTGAACAAAAATAACTAATAATATTAAATACCGCGAGTCCCTAGATCAGTCCGGTAGAACCCCAATGCTCAGTGGAGCACTGCAGTTTGAGGACCACTGCAGTGTTCTTTGGGTATTTCACTATGCACTATTTTACTCTCATGTATCCGGTCGATGAACAGTGTGATTTTTAAGCATACTCATTCCTATTTATCCCTTTAAAAGTACATAAATAATTGTAATTCTGATTTTTAGAATTTCTAAGTATGTTTCTCTAAAGTCCATATTTTCGAATTTCCAATATTTTTTATATTGCTTAAAGAGTGTCATGTGGCGAAACAAACTTTCATTTTTCAAAATGGGCCCCTCTCTTTATGGAAAATTATTTTGTGCAACTCAAAACTACTCACTCATATTTTGATTTAGATTCATCAAATAAATACAAAAAAAAATATGTCTGCTTAATAGCCTATAGTTAAAAATAAATATATATTGCGTTGTTCCTAATTGAAATACAGGTGATTGTATACTGTCACAGGATCGTCATCAAGTGGTACAAAAAAATCTCAAGAATTTGAAAATATTGTCTTCGAGTGAATTTAAAGTTTGCAAAATGAAAATAGGACGAACTCACTTAAAAAATCACCCTGTAGAATGTAGATCGTCGCAGCGTTGAAGTACAATAACGTTTGCCGCTTAAATATCGGATCGACTGCTTTTATCCACCGCGGAGACAATGAAGCGATAATAATAATAATAATATTGTACTGCACACATACCATACTATTATAATATTAAAATGGATCGATTTATTCGCGCGTTTTCGCATTCCGCTATAGCTGTTATAGAGCCGACTTCCACGCCCGACCGGTTCCCGATGTAAATTCGAAAGAAAAAAAAATTAGAGCACACCAATAATAATATGTCCTATAATACGGTTACCTATACATATTGAATTTGCCAATTTCCGTCGTATCCGCGTGTATACTATAAACATCTAATAATAATATGTATTATTGGTACCTGTGTTCATACACAGCTGATGATAGTATAATATATTGTATACCTGAGCAACGCGTGTTGCACATGTCGCAGCTTACCGTGGTATATACATATTATTATAATGCGTGTGCACACGTATATATAACGCATCGGATCATAAACAGGATTTTCGTTGCCCCGCTGTCGAGTTTGCCGGAAGTGGAATCGGTATACACACATAGACAAACGGGCCATAAATATTACCGGACCGATACTTTCCAAACGTGAACATTTTTTTAGTACGACCAAATATAATACATAAATGCGCGAAAATATTCTCGCGGCGCACACGTATAATAATATATACATTATAATATTATATTATGAGCACGCTCGCACACGTAGAAAATAAAAATTATAATTACGCGCCTGATGCATATTATTATATTATGACCTATGGCCCATACTATTATACGGGATGTGACAGAATAACATGGCAAATGAGAAAACTTTTGTTCTATTTAATGTTTTTCTGCATCATTAGGACGGACACATGCGTATTGTAATGATACTCCGATATTTTGTTTTTATTTTTTAAATAAGATTTTAAAAAAAATTTTGAAAAATTCAAAATAGCCAAATTGTAAATCTAGACTATCAAAATGTTTTCATTGTAAAGACATCTATTTAAGCCATGTAGCTTATTTCTTAAATTTTTTTGAAATCTCACTATTTTTGTCAAGTCAAGTATGAACTTTTTTGAAATTATTTCAGGAAAACTTTTAAACATGTACACGTCAAAAACTAAATATTTTTTTAAAAAATTATTACTTTTCAAACGAATGATTCTTCTTTATCAGTTTCATATTAAAAAAAAA